CTCCCTCTATAAATGGCTCTGTGTGGGAAGGGAGAGAGAATGAGAAGAAAGAGGGGGAAATAAAACCACGGATGAGGATCCAGCCCAATAAGCCCATGAAACACGTACCTGTCATGCCAACCCCTCTGGATGGACCTTTGGTCTGACCCAGTATGGTCATTATTACACTTTAATAACCTTTAATTAATATTTCCTGTGAGTTTTCATCAGCTTCTGATGATTTAATCACATTTAGATAATATTCCCTAGGAATTCCCAGCAGCTGACATGGGCTGGGGAAGGACATGGGAACAGCTGGATGACCATGCTCAGTCTCCCAGAGTTCTAAAAGATGTTGGGGATGATTATTTCATGAATAACAAATTAATTTGAACATCAGGAGTTCTTCCTGTGCCGTGCCAAATGGGTTTAGACAGCAGAGTTAACCAGCTGGTGACACTGGGAAAGAGAAAGGAGCACTCAGGTGTTCAGGAAGCACCGGGAATCCAGGAAGAGGATTTTACAGAGAGGGTGCTCTGCCCTTGGAATGGGCTGCCCAGGGAAGGGGTGGATTCTCCATCCCTGGAGGTGTTTAAGGACAGACTGGATGTGGCATCAGTGCCATGGGCTGGGAACCACGGCGGGGTTGGATCAAGGGTTGGACTGGATGATCTCAGAGGTCCCTTCCAACCCAGCTGATTCTGTGATTCCATGATTCTATGATTCTATGATTCCGTGATTCCATGATGTTGATTTGCACAGCTCTGATTTTCTGTGGGAGCGAACGTGCATTTTGGAACATCCCTTTGGAAAGGGAGAACACGACAGGTTTGGGGTGATGCTGCAGTGGAGACACGTTGGAGTGAAGAAAAGGATGTGGGCAAAGGAGTAAATAACCTATTTTGGCAGGGAATGATATTTTTTGGGCGGTGGGGAGGGAGAGGGTTTTCCTGGAGTCTGGTCAGGAAAAGTTCTCCTGGTTTTTCCTTCTTGTAAATCTCAGACTGGTTTGGGTTGGAAGGGACCTTAAAGACCATCTTGTTCCAACCCCCTGCCGTGGGCAGGGATGCCAATAAGTGGCAATTAGTGCTAATTAGGATGCCAGTTGTGATAAATAAAATAAGCAAAAGCTGCTGCAGAACTAATTTCCTGAATTAGCACAAATCCACTGTGAAGGCAGAGCAGTTGCATTTCTCCTGGAATTCTGAAATTTAGGGTTTTCATCTCCTTCTCTCACTAAAATTTCAGGTTGAGCACCCAGTTATTACATTTTAACAAATTCCTGTGTCCTTCCTTTCTGCAGGAGGAAAGGGCCAGCCCCTTGCTTTTCATGGAATCATGGAATATCCTGAGTTGGGAGGGACCCAAAAGGACCATCCAGTCCAACCCAACCACCATCTGGGGGAAGAGCCTTTCCCTGATTTCCAGCCTGACCCTCCCCTGACACAGCTCCAGCCATTAAAGCTTCCCCACAGCAGAGCTGGAATTGCAGGAAGAGAGGGATGACCGTGGTTGGTTCCTGGGAAAAAGGAGCTCTGGGTGAGTCACACAAAAACCTGAATTCTTTTACCCTCTGGATGCTCAATTGTTGCTTTATATCCTTCCTGTCGTGCCAGTGCTGGAAATGTTTGGTCTTTAATTATTTCCTTGCTGGAATAAAAGGTTGAGGGGGAAGAAAAGCAGCTCCTAAAGAAGGAGTGGGAAGGATTTTGGCAGGAGGAAAGGGAAGAGGAGGAAAAGTTCCTGCCTGCTTAGAAAGGGATGATATGAGCAATTACCACTCTGGTGGCAACGGGGTGATGGCAAATGAGAAAATCTGGGCTGAAATATCCTCAGCAAATGCATCTTTCAGGGATGGGACCTTCTCCAAGAAGCATTTTAACTGAGTATTTTTTATGGAAGCAGTTTTATCTTTGGGATAAAACCCACGCGGAGCGTTTCCCAGCAGGAACGTGGAGAGTGTTCAAACACCACCGAGCCAATTTGCTGGAAATCTCAATTATTTTCCCCTTTGCAGATTAGAAAGTCAGCCCGGGGTCTGCTCTTAATGCCTGAAAAGTCAACGGGAGGTTTTTCCATTAATTCTCCGGAGGGCTGGATCGCTCTGCTGCTCGGCTGCAAAGCCTTTAAGCTTTTGCTGGTTTTTGTGTGATTTGCATAGTGGGAAATTGGACCCCGGGAGTTCCAGGAGGTCGGGGCTAATTTGGGGGAGAAATGAGATATCCAAGCACAGCCTAAAAATCCAATCTAACTGTAAGTAGTGCCAGGGAAGTGCCTGGTTTCAATCCGGATTCACGTGGCACAGTTGATCCTAAAAAGCGATTTAGGACAAAAAAGCTCTGCCTTTGTGTGCACTGAGCAGTTATAGGACGTTTTCAGGAGGAATTTTTTCATGGAAAGGGTGGTCAGGCCTTGGCAGGGGCTGATTTTTTTGGGTGCTCCACCTTTAACTCACCCTGTGGAAAAAAAAAAATCTGCAGGAAAAACGGCAAAGGCAAATAAAAGAAAAGCAGAGTGGGAATTAATTACCTGTTTCTAAAGTATGGCGAAGTTAAATATTGAAAAGGCTGAATATTTAAGTGCAGATAGGATAAACACTAACTGTTAATGCAGGAAAAAAGCATTAAAATTCCATTAGATGCCTGACATTCCTATACCTATTTGAAGAAAACTCTCCCTTGATCCCAATCCCAGTGGGAACAACCACTTTCATTGTTTGATTTCCACCTCAAAGGAGTCTCTACATCAAAGGTCAAAATCATCAATAGTTAACCAAACTAATTAATTAGCTCTCAGGATCACTGCTAGAGCCCAATTTTAACATCATTTTCCTTTAATTCCCCTCATGTCCACCGGGTTGATAAACTTTTTTACAAGTTTCTGTGTTCTAGAAATTTAATTGCGCTTTTATTGTTGTGTTTGGAGTTAATTACACAGCCAACCAGGTTTATCTCTTAGATATTAAATCTAGCAAGTGCTCTTTGAACAATCAATTGATATTTAATTACAACAGAGAAGCTGCCCTATTAAATCTAAATTAAATGCTCATCGAAGACTATTAAAGTGTTACCAGACCATCAAACAGCAAATGCAATACAATGAAACATAAACCCTGATGGGGTTGGTTTTCCAGGCCTGCTTTGGAAACCTGAGCAGAAAAAGTGACCTCAAATGCCATTTCCCTCCCTTTTTGGTGAATTCCTTGGCAAAGTTCCCTTCACAAAGGCAATTTTACTTCACGGGGAGTGACAACAACACGGAGCCTTTTTTGTACCTTCCAGCCTGATTGGAAGAGTTTAGACCAAAGGGTTCAGGAGAAGCTCGGGAAAGGAGCATGGGAAAGGCAGGAGACACTTCAGCAGGGATAATCATGGGATCCCAGGACGGTTTGGGTTGGAAGGGACCTCAAAGCCCATCCAGTGCCACCCCCTGCCATGGGCAGGGACACCTTCCACCAGCCCAGGTGGCTCCAACCTGGCCTTGGACACTCCCAGGGATCCAGGGGCAGCCACAGCTTCTCTGGGCAACCTGTGCCAGGGCCTCCCCACCCTCCCAGCCAGCAATTCCTTCCCAATCTCCCATCTATCCCTGCCCTCTGGCACTGGGAAGCCATTCCCTGTGTCCTGTCCCTCCATCCCTTGTCCCCAGTCCCTCTCCAGCTCTCCTGGAGCCCCTTTAGGCCCTGCAAGGGGCTCTCAGCTCTCCCTGGAGCCTTCTCTTCTCCAGGGGAACCCCCCCAGCTCTCCCAGCCTGGCTCCAGAGCAGAGGGGCTCCAGCCTTTGGAGCATCTCTGTGGCCTCCTCTGGACTCTCTCCAGCAGCTCCACTTCTGTATTATTTTGGGACCCTGAGCTGGCTGCAGGGCTCGATCCTGTTATTCCTTCATCCTTTGTGAGCCCACAAGCTCCCAGAACATCTGAGTGAGCAGAGCAGTGTCCCCCAGAGCATTAACTGGGTTTTCCAATATCCCAGCTCCTTTGGCTGAGCCTATTTTCCACCTCTGCCCTCAGGAGTGGAACCTGCCTTATCTCCAAACTCTCCATGTTCAGGTGGAGCAGGATCCTTCCTCCACCTTGAGGAAATACCTGCTGACCACTGACAAAGCCAGGACAGCAAAGCCAAGGGATTCACAGGGACAGAAATTTGAAGTATTTATTTTGATTAAAGGGTCACCACATTGAAACCAGGAAGGTTAACTTTTCCTTTTGGAATTCTACAGAAATTCTACAGAAATTCTACAGAAATTCTACAGAAATTCTACAGAAATTCTACAGAAATTCTAAAGAAAACAGTGCTTAAATGAAAGAGCCAAGGGGTTTTTTTTGGGGGGTGTGTCTGAAAGGTATTTAAGTGACTCTCATGTTTCATTTTGAAAGAGGATCTTCCATTACTCAAGGAAAGCCATTACTCTGATGAGTTCTGGGTCATCCATCAGTCACTCCCCTAATGCATCATCCATATTCATGCCCAACCTTCCTAGAAGAGTGATGTTAATTTGGGTTTCCCTTGACTTGTTTTCCATCTTCGTTTACCTGCACACTCTGAGCTTCCAGCCTGAGATAAGTGGAGATTTGTTTGATGATTTTCCCTGGGTCAATTAGGAGTGGATCAAGCAGCAGACAGTTGGGAACATGCTCCAGGAAGGCTTTTGCCTCCCAGCAAATGGGAAATTAGATGTGGGCACCTGCCAAGCTCAGCCCTTTGGACCTTCCAGAGCCCGTGGCAGAGATGTAAACATCCAGTTTCAGGTGTATTTACACTCAAAATGCATTTGGTTACAACAGAATCTCGTGATCAGCTGCAGGTGTAATATTGCCCTGTTATAAAATAGGAAAAGAAAATTAAGTTCCCAATTTTTCCCCTCTCATCTCCTGTTCTGAGGTCAAGGTGCTGTTCCATCCCTTCAGGCTGTGCCAGGGGAGGCTCAGGTGGGACATCAGGAGGAATTTGTCCCTGGAAAGGGTGGTGAGGCCGTGGCAGGGGCTGCCCAGGGAGGTTTGGAGTGCCCAGCCCTGGAGGTGTCCCAGGAAGGCCTGGCTGTGGCACTCAGTGCTCTGGGCTGGGGGACAAGGTGGGCATCGGGTACAGGGGGGATCCATGGGCTGGGAGGACTTTTCCAACCTCAGGGATCCTGGGATTCAGTGACTTCAAGGCTCACAACCCCCCAGTCAATCAGTGTTTTACCTCCTCGTGGCTCTGCCACCTCCCTGCTGGGTGAGGCTCAAACAGCCCCTCTTCCCCTGGGCCTCTCTCCCTTTGGTCCCAGATCAGTCCCTGGGCAGAGACAGTGGTTTGGATGCTCTGAGTTGGGACCTTGAGGTGCTGAACAACTTCCCTTTTCAGTCCAATATTCCTTCTCCTTTTCCTTCCCGTGGAAGAACAAACTGGACGATTCCTTTGCCGGGGTGAGAGCGAAAAATGCTCTTTTTGCCCAGCAGGATGAGGAGGGGGGGAAACCCTTTGAGCAGAGCAAGAACAAAGTCTGCTTCTTGCAAGAGCATCCAGGGGAGGTTTACTGTGCCAGCTCAGGAGCCAGATCTTTGACAGGAATGTGTGAGGAGGGATTTCCACGTTTAGAAGTCGGGAGGGAATGGATTTCAACCGGTGATTCCCTTTCCTTCCAACAGCTCAGCGTGGTGCTCCCAGCTTTCTCTGAGCACCAGGAGACAAGGTCCACAAGAGGTCCACAGGAGACAAGGTTTTTAAGGCTGTTAAAGGCCAGAGGAGCACCAAAGCACCCTCAGGAGGGTCAGGAGCATGTGGGGTTGTGCAGAATTCCAGCTTTCCAGCAGCAGGATCCAGCACAAAGCACTCGGCAGCCTCCAGAGGCTCTGACTCCTCCAAACCCACCTTGAGGGGGTTTTTCCCAGCAGATTCAGGGAATGTGCTGCTGCATTTCCTCCTCTCAGCTGAGGGCCTTCTCTAGGAGACCTGGGTTGTCTTTGGGCTCAGGAAAGCCAAGTGGTAATTCTCAAATCTTTTTTTTATTTTGCATTTTCTTTTTTTTTTACTAAGAAATAACATCCTTGGTTTTAGGCAGCTCTAGAAAATTATTTCTGAGCTTCCACCAACTGCCTGACCTGCTGTGTTTGAGAGCCAGCTTAGGTTTTTCACCATGAATAAAGGGATCACTGAGTGAGATTCACCCCACTGCAATAAAACCCTATTTTTCAGCCACAGCAGTACCAGCAGAACCCAAAGATGCAAAATTTTGATTACAAGTTTCTCAAGTCCTGAGTGTTTTCCCTTTACAGTTCCCGACTCAAAGGAAAGTCTCAGCAGTTTTTGGAGAACTGATGAGTCTTCTGGCCCCGTTTTATTTCCCTCATCTTCTGCCAGAGAGATGGATCTGATCTTTAATTATTACCTAAAGTGCTTTCCCAATTCACTGGAGCAATTCCAGCATGAACACGACTGTCTGGGCTGGCTCCTTCCTGGAGTGGTGGAACAACGGGAATGCTTTAAGCTGGGAAAGTAGGTTTAGGTGAGATATTGGGAAGGAATTCCTGGCTGGGAGGGTGAGGAGGGGCTGGGAAGAAA